TATATATATATATATATATATATATATGCTCCATCTTTCTAGAAAGGTGCCCTCTTTTTATCTTATTGTCGTTGTGTGAAATCAGTACACGAATTGATATAATTTCACATTTATAATTTCAGGTGTGCTCTAATTTGTTTTATAAATAGAGACCCCTTGTAATGATTATGTAATATCATCATAAAAGAGAGATGTTAAACAAGATAATGTGCGATTTTTTTTTATAAATTTCTTTTCATCATAGTGAATTACTATTACTGTGGAATATCGCATAATATCACACTGTAAATCTTGTGTGCATCTGTTTTTTCTATCTGTAATTTAACTATTAACGGTGGTATGGCATTAAGGTTTTTAATTAATATGATGTTATATTATAATCACCTAATATTATCAAAGGCAATTTGGATCAAGACTGAATTGAGGTCAAAATCCGACAATCACGTACCGTTTAAGGGAAAAAAAAAAATATTGTTGACGTCGAAATTCGTGTAAACAAGAAGAGTGGTAAGAAGTTAAGAATTACGGTTACCCCAAAATTTTGTTCTTATGATATGAATTCTAATATGTAAGAAAAATTGCAAAAATAGTCTCCAACTTATACGACTTGTGTGAAACTAATCCTGATTCTTTATTTCTTGGAAGATTTTGGAGAGAAAAGTCTATTTCGTCAATTTTGGTCGTTAAATGCGCGCATCACCTCACATTATCAACATTTAAAAGACAAAGCAGTCCAAACACTTTAATCCATTGATCACTCTACTTTAAGTAAATGAAAAAAAAATAATAAAACAAAATATATTACTTACCTGATGGTTCATGTGATTGTTCTTATAGTTAGCCCTAGAGGAAATTGGTAGCATTTTTGCTTTTGCATTTTTTTTTTTTAATCGTGAAGTATAATCACTTCCTGAAGTGTTACGCATGAAAATTTATCATTAGATATGTAGACTCGATACATATTCACCATGTTGGTTGACACGTATTTTCACCGTATCTACCACTGTCATATGATTAATTATATTATGACCTAGTTTTCAAATTTTTGTATAATTTATTCGTTGACGAGATTTTTAGCTTATCATAAGATTTATTTAGTTCCCCATCCAAGTTATAAACTAACTTGACAATTAGAACCACCTTAGTGTTTAATCTGTTTAAGAGATTCTTAAACAACAACTCATCTCAATCGTGCCACATATATTAACAGAGGAGATTTTCAATATTCCATCAGATTTATTCCAATTTCGAGCAATCGCTTTGATTTGCCTTAAATCCTATTTTTAAACCAGAATGACTATGAGAACCACCTTTCGGTTCAAATTGTTCAAGAAATCCTGAGACTACTCATTGTACTCGTGTCATGGACGTAGTTGGGGTTTCTGGGGGATGTGTGCAAAAGTTGGTGTTGGATTTTGATACCCAATAAATTCCGGACGATGATGTTAAATCGATGTTGGATAATGTATTTCGACACCTTAGTGATGACTCGACTCGAAAATAATTTGGAGCCACTAAAAGCAACTTAATTGAGTTAAATTGCCCGTGACCCAACACTCGTGGATGGCCAAAGTTATTGAGTTGGACGGTGATATTAGTTGACCCATTTATTCTTGGGAAAATTCCATAAATATGGTGTATTCTTTACACCAGTTCAAGAATCAGGTTTATAGTTTGAAAATTCAAAAATTAGGTTTTTTTTAAAAAATAAATTATTAAATCAATTTATTATTTAATTCTAATATAATATAATTAACCCATCCCACATGCACCACTTGTACAGCTCCGGTGACTATTACGGCGACCATTTCGACCATCATTCTTCTCCAACGACAGTTCCGGCGACTGCTCCGATTCCGACAATTATTCTGGCGACTATTCCGATAACCATTCTGGTCACAGATTTATAATTTACGATCACAGTTCAAATTAATTGCTCACAGTCCAAATTAATTGGTCACATATTTTTTTACGGTCACAAATTATATAATTTTTAGGTCACAGATTACATTTTTAGTCACATATTACATAATTTTAAGGTCACAATTAATTCGTTGGTCACATATCAAAATTTATAGGTCACACGGTCACATATTTCAAAATTAGTTGAACACAGATTTTTTCACGATCACAGATTATATAATTTTTAGTCACAGATAACAAAATGGTTGGTCACAGATTATATTTTTAGTTATAGATTACTGAATTTTGGTCACATAAGCCAAATAGTTGGTCACATACCACCGCCACTTGCAACCACCCTCACTTCGGCACCACCACAACAGTACCAATGCCACACCACCAATGAAAGCCGCCACTCCACTACCGACACCAACTGAACTCCACATAATCTCACCACCCAAAATCACCCTCTTCAACTCAAACACCGTCGCCGCACCACCACCTTAACACCACCACCACTACCACCTGCAAAAACCATCCAACAAACCTCATCCCAAATCACAGCACAACCACTGCAGTCGCACCAGCACCGCTCAACACCACCTCAAAAACACCACCACTACCACCTGCAAAAACCATCCATAAAACCTATCCCAAGTCACTTCACAACCATCGACACCACATAGTCACCTCACAACCACACCGACACCACCCACGTACACACGACACAGAGAAGTCGTTCAAAAGAAAACTTAGCCACCTCCACTATTTATAACCATCACCACCACTCCACATCGCACCCATACAATCAGCTTCCACAAATCACACAAATCAGCGTACATACCGCTTCTACTTCATCGTGCGCAGTCATTTCATAGCCTCAACTCGCAGCGATTCACGTTCCTAGCTGGCGATTCGCGCTCCTTCTGGGGTGAAATGGATACGATCTGCAGATCTGATCCGATTGTGCGTCGCCTGTAGTGGATCTATAGCAGTGGTGTCTCACCACCAAAGCTGCGGTGACGGTTGCAATCGAATCGACGGCAGAGAGAGTGGAGAAGGGATAGCAGAGAGTGAAGAGGAAGGGAAGGGAGAGAGAGATGGCGAGGAGAGGAAGAGGAGGGGAGGCGAGACACAGAGAGAGGGGGAGAGGAGGTGCACGAGAGAGAGATAGGTGAGGAAGTTGAGAGTGAGTGATAAATTAGGGTTAGGGTTTTAATATATAGTACCTGATTTTTGAATAAATAAATTTTGGACCTGACTTTTAAAAAGTTATCTTTAAACCCTTCATTTTTTGTAATTTCCCTTTATTCTAAACATTAGCCCTTTTATTGGAGGCCCAATACTTTGGTTATATGGACCACTTGACTTGGCCCATAAAAGTGACCTAATGTGACTTTGGCTATATATATATATCCTCATTTGTTTGTCTACAACCGTGTGGCGGGTGTATGTTTGTGTAATAGAGGAGAAATTGTGAGGTATCCGTTC